TTAATTGCACATAATTGCAATATTAGCCTTTTCAAGATTTAATTATGCTTTATATTCATAAAATTAAGTCCTGTATTTTTAAATTGTTAGTTATATGCTATAAATCATTTTCATGCTTTCAATTTATTTCCAGAAGTTAATTTCCTATTTTTTATAATTTTAAAAGGGAAAATTGGCTATTTAAATAATAGCCTAATTACATTTAAATTTTAGCCTTAATCTGATCCCAAGCTAAACCCAATTTCCCGGCCCAATTCCCATTCAGACCCGATCCCTAACCCAATTAAACGACTTCAATCCTAGCTGTTGATCATTTAGATCAACGACCACTATTCACCCTTTCCATTTTAGCCTTAAACAACCCCTTACCCTACCTCATTCATCACCAAACACCGCCCTTGAATCCCCCTTCTCTCAATTCTCTCTGAAACCTAGCCGCCGCCATCTAATCCTACCCTAATCCATCCTAATACCTTCCTAATCCATGGCCCCTCGTTGTAATTTGGGACATGTATCAGCCTCCTATGGCTCCTGGGTGTTTGTTTCTGCGGTTTCCTGGCCAGACCTCAAAGGGTCTGATCCAGTCCTTGATCGACTTTTGTCCATGGCCTTTCTCCGGCCATCCATGACCTTTCAAGGCCGACCCTTGACTTTTTCTAGTTAGATCGTTAACTTTCAAAGTCTTTCTCACTTCTTTTGGATTTTCTGAAACCCTAGCTCTAAGACCTTTCAATTTTCTTTCAGATCTCTCTTAGATCTGTACTTACTATGAATTTCATAAGTGTTTTCTCGAAGGTTCTTCAACTTTTCTTTCAAAACGACTCTTTATTTTTTTCGACGATTAGGGTTTCCTTTAAGTTTTTCAAAAGATCTCTTCTCTGATCTCAATATTGTTTGTGATTTTGCTATGTTTAAAACGACTTGCTCATATTGTTCTTCTATCTATTTCAGCATGTTAAAAACCCTAGTTCCTTTAGTCTTATCCGAGTTCTGAAACAGTTTGTTTAAATGTGTACTTGTTCTTTGTTTCTGACTCTCTTTTCCTTGTTTGACTTGTTTGATTTTGAGTTCTTACCATCTCTTAAACTCGACTACTGCTGAAGCCCTAAATTTCTTAGAAGTTTTTCTCACTTATTACTACTGTGAGACCTTTACCTGTTTCTGATTTCTCTTACCTAATACTATGTTTTGCTTCACTGTTGATTCTATGTGACTACTTGACCTACTTGACTACTGTGCCTCGAATAATTTCCTTACTACTGAATCCTAGCTTATTTCTGCCACTACTGTATGTTTGTGTTATCTCTTTTGCCAATGTGTTTGGCCTCGCATGTCTGATGCTTCTGTTCACTCTATTTATATACTGAAGTTTCTTCCTTGATTGATCTTTATTTGGTGACTGATTGCAAAAGCGTTTTCTTTATAAACCCTAATTTCACTTGCTTGTTTAAAATTAATTGATTCCTTTCCCTTTTACTGTGATATTTTACCTTGCTGAATTCTTTCCCAAAATAAGCCTATTTTGTACTTAGACTTGATTGTTTACTTCATGCTTTTACTGCCCCTTATATGGCAATAATCAATCTGTCCCCAAATTGATTTCTTTCCTTAATTAAACCTGCTACTACCCGTTAAACAGTGATTCCTTAATTAAAGGGAATCACTTGTGTTAATTGATTCTGACTTGTGATTGTTTCCATGTTTGTGTTAAGACTTTACTTATTACCTTACTTATCACTCGTTTTCAAAAGCTATAAATACCCACCCCCTCTTCTTTCAAAAGACACGAGCAACTTGAGTTCAAAACACACTTACACTTAAAACTCTCTCTTTCTTTACTGCTACTTGTGCTGTTGCTTTGTCGAGCCGGCTGAAAGCCAAGGTTAGACTGTGGACTCTTGATTGCTTCACCTTTCTGCACTTTGCTTCTCTACTAGTATGTCCTAGTTTACTCTTTAAGTCTCAACAACAATATGTTTCTTTAAGTTGCTTCAGTCTCTCATTCATGCTCACTTCTGCCAATGTTTCTGTAGTCTATTTACATTACTAGCATGCTGAAATATGCTCCCTTCCCCTTTTAGATTAAAGTTTCCCTATGTATGTACTCTGTCAGTCGCTTGTTATATGATTTGCTGACTTATGAATCCCAAACCCCATATCCCCTCTATGTGTTTGTGTTTCTTAGGTTGGTTTGTGGGCAGGCCAGCATCATCTATTGCTGTGCATGACCAAACCTGCCCCTTTCTGGGGTCATATGCTTCATACAATATATTCCCAAAACCCCTCGACCCTTTGTGTAACTACTGATTCTGGGTAGTTTGAGCTCCACTGCTACTGTTTTTTTTCAAATCACCCTTTAATACTTACTATTTCCAACTCAGTTTTAATCAATTTCTGTCCTGCACTTCCACTATATTCTTGGGACCTAGGTTCTGCCCCTCTTGTGTGAGCCTTGCCTTGGGACCCTTGAGCTCCCTCTGAACTTGGACGCATGAGGGCTGGCCCTTCCACACTGCACTCATTTCTGTCTGGTTATGCAGACCTGGGTGTAAGCACTGCCCGGGGTCCCTTGAGACCCTTAGGGACCTTTGACACACCTAGGTATGAGAAAGGCTTTGAACATCATGGGCATCTGGAGTGATTAATTATATAACTCAGATAAGAAGTCAAGATCAGGCTTCTTTTGGTTGTAATTTCTTCTTTCTGCACTTCTTTTGTAATTTAAGTATTTGGTCTGTAATAATTTGTAACGAACATTGGGGTTGGCTAGTAAAAAGGGATGGGGAAATTATGCATGTTTTAAGGGTAGATATCCTACCTATAGGATCTATTTAATACATTCTGCATGTTTTACTTCCACACTTATATATCATGCCTATAGGATCTGTTTGATAAATTCTGTATGTTTCACTTCCACACTAAGACATCATGCCTATATGATCTAAATGGCAATAATCAGACGTCAAACCTATAAGGTTAAAATCATCTTCGAAAGTAGATGTCATGCCTGTAAGATTAAAATCAATATCTTTATAGAAATTATGCCTATAGGAATTTCGCTGTGGTCAAGTAAACCCTGGCTACTCCACTTCATGATCAATTAGATACCATGCCTATAAGATTAAAATCAGCTATAATAGAGAGCATGCCTATAGGACCTAAAACCTGTTTAGTAAAAAAAAATCAGTTTGACTCGTACTGTTCTGAATCAGTTTAAACAACTTACTCCTTTTAGCAATACGGTTTAGAAAGCATGCCTATAGGATCCAAATTGCTCGTTTAGAATTGTTTACTATTTTACTACACTCCTAATCAACAATAGATATCACGCTCCTAGGACATCACTATTACGCCTAGGCAAGCCTTAGGTAATAATAATGATAAAATTTAATCCGCCTCTGTTTAATTAGCAACTGCTACAACCAGCAGGCAGGCCTGATTCGGACTTCTTATCTGAGCTACATAATGAATCTGGTTCTGACTCAAATCCCCTACCTTTGGATTTTTAAAATACAGACTTTAACTGTGTTTGAGTTGTGCTATTTATATGTATTATTTGCGAAGGATTGTATGAGCCTTCTAATTGCTTACATGTTTCCCCTTTTAATGTAGTCCTACGTGTTTTTGTATGTCGCCTTAGCCTTTTTACCTTTAAACCTAAGAGTCAGCCTAGATCCTCCCTCTTATAAGAATAGTAGTCCTAAAGTTCCTCCGAGATTGATAGGAATGGGACGGGTAATAGCACGCAGTAGAGTTCGAGACCAATCCGCGCTTTACATACCTTTACGGGGTGGGAAGGGTAGACATGGATATGATGATCGGTGCGCTAATACCACGTGTAGCCCCTCTTTTGAGGAGTGATTACCGGGTATTGCATTGATGTGATCCATATTACAAACAAACCTAGGACTCCCTTTACATTCATCAGCATGCTTAGTTATAACTCTTTCTAAACTTTATTTTATTCAATCATTTTCAAACACTTGTGTACTTAAAATCCCCTCTTATTTGAGCCTTGTTTGTTTACTTGTTAATTGCACAAATTCACAAAGAATTATCTGGCCGGGACTCACACTAGTGGATCTTTAGGGGTGCCTAACACCTTCCCCTTGGGATAATTTCAAGCCCTTACCCCATCTCTAGTTATTAAATGTAGTTGTAGTTGAACCCTATAGGTGCCCTAACGCACCTTAAAATCGTTAGGTGGCGACTCTTTAAAACTGCAAAACCCCTTTCCCAAAAGGAAACAGTTGTCCCAACCAAAATGTCATAATTCCGATTCCGTGAAGGAAAAAGGGGCGCGACATGAAATATTGTGAAATGAGCTAAAGATCCTTTAAATAATAAATGTTTTGTTGAGCCCCACTTCATTTCGGGGTCTTGTATCTCCTGTCCTCTATGTATAGTATTTTGAGGTATAGTCGGAGCCTTGTTGCCGGCACTATCGTAGTACTCTTTTGTTTCTGTTAGAGGCTCCGTAGACATAGTGTAGGTTGTATCTTTACTTTGGGAAAGTTAAACTAAAGGTGATGTATTTGTATCACATGTTCCACTTCAAACTATGGAAGTGTATGTATTTTGTGACTTATAAATGACGTAGCTAATGGTAAAGAACCGGCGTTCTTCACATGACTTCTCATTGTCTAATTAATGAAACATATCTTCTCTTTGTTCACGGGTGAGTTTGGGTAGAAGGCATTGTATAGGCTTCCTTGACTGGGGTATCTCGGTTGAGCGCCGGTTGCGCTCCCCGAGGTCGGGGTGTGACAAGCTTGGTATCAGAGCCTAAGGTTTTAAAGAGTCCTAGGATGTCTCGGAGCCGTGGCTAGTAGAGTCCTTCTTATCAGTGTGTTGTCGACCACATCTATAATTAGGAGGCTACTTGGGCATTTAGGAATGTCATCCATCTTTGATGTTCTAGATCGTGCGGTAGTGCTGATTATTAGATTTTTCCTCCTTTAACTTGTGAATTTCTCTAATTTTCAAAACATCACACCTAGGAAGAAAGTAGGAACCGGCCAAGGAGCCAATGCCACCCCAGGAGTGGCAGTTGGTTTATACCTAATGATGCGGGTGAACACCCGAGGGGTGAGGATATTCCCCCAGCTACACCACCACCTGATGCTACTACTGCTACTCCGACTGCACCAATTCCTACTCCTACTGAGGGTGCAGCTATACACACCCGACTGATATTCCAGTTCCACCTCCAACCCCAGCTTTCGGTCCCGGTGTTTCTGATGGGGACCTTAGGGGATCCATACAGATGTTGGCTTAGATAGTGGCTTCCCAGGCCCAAAGATTGAATGTTTCACCTACTTCTTCCACCCAGCAAGGGGATTCTGCTACTTCCAGAGTGAACAGGTTTCTTCAGTTAGATCCTTCAGTGTTCTTGGGTACTAATCTGAGGAGGACCCCCAGGACTTTATTGATGAGATGCACAAGACTCTACAAGTTTTGCGTGCTACTAAGACGGAGGCGGTGGAGTTGGCCTCCTACCGCCTGAAAGAGGTGGCCTATTCTTGGTTTGAGATGTGGGAGGAGTCCCGTGAGGAGGGGAGCCCTTCGGCGAGGTGGTGTGAGTTTGCCTATGCCTTTATTGATCATTTCTTGCCTGCCGAGACTAAGGCGGCTTGTGGCGCTAAGTTTGAGATCTTGAAGCAAGGTAGCATGAGTGTGTGGGTGTACCATATGAGATTCGCGGGCCTGTCCAAGTATGCAATTTACATGTTGCCCATTATGGAGGAAAGAGTGTGTCGCTTTGTGCAGGGCCTCAACCCCTTCGTTATAAATGAGGCTGCTACAACTGCCTTGAGTTCCGATATGAACTATGGGAAGATGGTAGCGTTTGCTCAATCTACAGAGACCCGCAAATTGAAGAATATAATGGAGCGAGAGGGTAGCAATAAGGCCCGATCCGCAGGCAATTTTGGTGGTTCTTTTGGTGGTGGTGGTGGTGGTGGTGGCAGGTCAGCATTCAGGGGAGGGTCATCAGGGCCATCCTAGTCCTTTCCTCAGTCTTTGGTTATGCACAACCATCAGGGCCCAGTAAGCACCAGTGGAACCGTTTTAGGCCAAGTTAGGGAAACATGGGCTCCTACCAGTAGGTCAGCCTGGAGGGAGATTCCAGCAATAGCGGAGGCCCCCATGCCCTAGGTGTGGGAAGATGCATTTTGGGGCCTGCTTCATGGACCAACCCATATGCTACGGATGCGGTATCAGGGGTCTTATTTAGAGGGATTGTCGTTCGTCCTGCCAAAGTGTAGGCAGGGGTACGGCACAGCCAGCCAGTTTTGCAATCACTTCATCCGCATCACCTCCTCCAGCTCGAGGCACTCCAGCACCCGTAGGGCATGCTGCAGCTAGGGGTGGTGCACAGAGTTTGGGAGGATCCAACCGGTTCTATGGTAGATGGATCGCCAGAGTTCAGAGGCTTCTCCAGATGTTGTCATAGGTATATTGACTGTTCATTCCCATGATGTTTATGCTCTCATAGATCCTGGTTGCACTTTGTCGTATGTCACTCCTTATGTTGCTATGGAATTTGGGATAGAACCGGAACAACTTCATGAGTGGTTCTTTGTATCTACTCCAGTTGGTGAGTCCATTATGGACGCACGGGTTTATAGGAATTGTGTTGTCATAGCGCGTGGTCGGGACACCGTAGACGATCTCATTGAATTGGGGATGGTTGATTTTGATGTAATAATGGGGATGGACTGGCTTTATTCATGTTTTTCCAAGCTTGATTGCCGAACCAGAATCATTAGGTTTGAATTTCCAAATGAGTTGGTTATTGAATGACAGGGGTATAATGTGACGTCGAAGGGTAGGTTTATTTCTTACCTTAAGGCCTCGAAGATGATCAACAAGGGGTGTATTTACCATTTGGTCTGGGTTACGGACACCGATGCTGAGGCACCTATACTTGAGTCCGTGCCAGTGGTGAATGAATTTCTGGAGTTCTTTCCTGATGAGCTCCCTGGGATCCTACCAGACGTGGAGATTGATTTTAATCGATTTGATGCAAGGCACGCAACCTATATCTATTCCACCCTATAGAATGTCACCGATAGAATTGAAAGAACTAAAGGAGCAGTTAAACGGCTTGTTAGAGAATGGTTTCATCCAGCCGAGTGTGTCGCCTTGGGCGCACCGGTTCTCTTTGTAAGGAAGAAGGATGGGTCACTATTGACTATCGACAATTCAACAAGGTCACGATCAAGAATAAGTACCCACTGCCAAAGATTGATGACTTGTTTGATCAATTGCAGGGTGGTAAGTATTTCTCCAAGATTGACTTAAGGTCGGGGTATCACCAATTGAAGATCAGGGGGCAGGATATTCCGAAAACAACTTTCAGAACCCGGTATGGGCACTTTGAATTTCTGGTGATGTCTTTTGGGCTAACAAATGCCCCGACAGCTTTCATGGATCTTATGAATCGAGTCTTCAAGCCTTTTCTCGACTCCATTGTGATAGTATTCATTGACGATATTCTTGTATATTCACAAAGTCGAGAGGACCATGCCGATCATCTCAGGGAAGTTCTACAGACTCTCTATCTACACAAGTTGTATGCAAAGTTTTTGCTTGAATATGTCACATTCTTGGGTCTTCTTGTCTCTAGAGAAGGAATTAAGGTTGATCCTAAGAAGATCACAGCTGTGAAGAATTGGCCTAGACCTATAACTCCAATAGAGTTTCATAGTTTTTTGGGTTTAGCTGGGTATTACAGGAAGTTCATGGAGGGGTTCTCCACTCTTTCCTTTCCTTTGACTAAATTGAGACAAAAGGCAGTTAAGTTCCAGTGGTAAGATGCTTGTGAAAAGAGCTTACAGGAGTTGAAATCAAGATTGAATACGACACTGGTGTTGACCCTACCAGAGGGTACAAATGGGTTTAAGGTATACTGCGATGCTTCAAGGATCAGACTTGGGTGAGTATTGATTCAACATGGCAAGGTGATCGCTTATGCTTCTAGGCAACTCAAGAATCTTGAGAAGAACTATCCAACATATGACTTAGAACTTGCAGCAGTAGTGTTTGCGTTGAATATTTGACGACATTATTTGTACGGGGTCCATGTGGCTATATTCACGGACCATAAGAGGCTTAAATATATTTTCAAGCAAAAGGAATTGAATCTGAGGCAGAGAAGGTGGATTGAGTTACTCAAGGACTACGACATCGATATTCTCTATCATCCAGGGAAGGCTAATGTTGTAGTGGATGCTCCTAGCTGGAAATCTATGGGTATTTTGCTCACTTGGAGGCATATCAAAAGTTGTTGGCCAAGGAAGTTCATCGGCTAGCTAGTTTGGGAGTTCGTCTTGCGTACTATAGTGAAGGTGGGGTGATTATGCAAAATAGGGCCGAATCATCACTTGTTGTGGAAGTCAAGGAAAAGCAGTACGACGATCCGTTGTTAGTACAATTGAAGGAAGGGATTCATAAACATAAAATCACGGCTTTTTCTCTTGGTATGGATGATGGTACGCTAAGTTACCAAGGGCGATTATGTGTTCCAAATGTAGATGGTCTCCGAGAAAGAAACATGACCGAGGCTCACACTTCTAGGTATTGCGTGCACCCAGGCTCTACAAAGATGTATCATGATCTTAAGAAAATTTACTAGTGGAATGATATGAAGAAAAATGTAGCGAACTTTGTAGCAAGATGCTCAAATTGTCAGCAAGTGAAGCCCGAACGCCAAAGGCCCGGTGGATTGGCACAGAACATAGAAATTCCAATGTGAAAGTAGAAGATGATCAGTATGGACTTCTTGGTAGGACTACCTCGCACTCCTCGCAAGTTCGACTTGATTTGGGTGATTGTTGATCGACTCACGAAATCAACACACTTCTTACCTATTAAGTCTACCGACATGGTGGAACAATATACTTGGTTGTATATCAAGAAAATGGTCAGGTTGCATGGCACTCCAGATTCTATTATATCAGATCGAGGGGCACAGTTCACAACTAATTTTTGGAAGAAATTTCAGCATGGTTGGGTACTCAGGTAAATCTTAGTATAACTTTCCATCCACAGACCGAGGGGCAAGCAGAGCGGACCATTCAGACTCCTGAGGATATGTTGCGCGCTTGTGTTCTTGACTTCAAGGGTAGCTGGGATGATCATTTGCCACTCATAGAATTTGCGTGCAATAACAGTTACATACTAGCATTTAGATGGCACCATTCGAGGCTCTATATGGTAAGAGATGTCGATCTCCCATTGGGTGGTTTGAGATTGGGGAATCAGAGTTGATAGGACCAGACCTCGTGCATCACGCTATGGAGAAGGTTAAGATCATTAAGGAACGGTTAAAACTGCTCAGAGTCATCAGAAGTCCTATTCGGATATGCCTCGTAGGGATTTGGAGTTCAAAGAGGATGATTGTGTATTTTGAAGGTTTCCTCCATGAAGGGTATAATGCGGTTTGGGAGGAAAGAGAAATTGAATCCGAGGTATGTCAGACCGTACAGAATCATTCAGAGGATTGGTCAGGTGGCTTACAGGCTTGAGCTACCTCTAGAGACGTCTTTAGTACACCCGGTGTTTCATGTATCCATGTTGAAGAAGGTGGTTGGAGACCTGTCACTTATTATTCCAGTTGAGACTATTGAGGTTAATGAGGAATTGACTTATGAGGAGATTCCGATTGCCATTCTTGATAGGCAGGTTCAAAAGCTGAGAAATAAGGATATTGCCTTCGTGAAAGTATAATGGCGAAACCAACAGGTTGAAGAGGCCACCTGGGAGGCCAAGAGGGAGATGGAGAAGAAATATTCTCATTTGTTTGAATAAACATGTAGTGGTGTTCTATGAAAATGTTAAGAACCCACTTTCTATGCATTATGTTTCCCATGTACAACATATGTTAAGGATACTCTTTTTTGATAATGTAATGTTTATGGCGTTGTGGTCGGTGTTGTTTCTATGTTGTGTTACATCATTGTGTCATGATTATGATGTTACGATTGGTTTATGGGATTCTCTGATAGGTGGATAGGCCCGATCACATGGGAGAGTCTGGCAAATTTTTTGGAAATTTAGGGAGTTGGTCAAAATTTGGAACTCCTGGTGTGTGAAGTAATAGTTGAGTCACATTGGATGCTAAGAACTAATTTTGACCCTCATTCAAAGACGACTAATCCTAAGTGGGGGAGGATGTAAGGCCCCATAAATTTTTACCTAGAACCTAGGGTTTCGTGATGCTGAGGTAGGTTTATGTGTTTGATGATTGTAGAAATTCTTCGCGTCTCACAAGCTCACC